ACAAACGAGAGAAGCTCACGGCTGCACAGCAGCTTGGCATCGCGCCTCATCCCCAGGTATCTTTTAAATTTAATAAAGAGTTTATTGATTAAATTCCCGTCTTATTTCTAATGGAATGTGGTCAATAGTTACACATCCGTCCAATTATTGTTCTCTAGAATGTAATGGTAGGGACATTGTCATAATCTCTTAGGATTAGCTAATTGGTTTTTTGTAAGAAAGGCCGGTTGCATAAGTTGCGTGTCACCTATTTAGGGACCGTTGCCTTTTAAGATCAATAACACGAGTAAAACAGTAGATACGGTTAAAACCCTTATAAAAGATTAACAGAAAAAAAAAACCTCAAAAGTAATGATATTTGCATGTTGTATTACTCCACAGAGTTAATTGGCTTAATTACTAAGCTTCGTTAAAGACACTTGACGATGAAAAATTGCAGTGCAGTTTCCTCAACTAATTTATTTCTGCCTACTGTGTCATTTGTCTTTATGTCTACATACGTATCTATTTAGATCATCTGTACTAGTGAACATTTAGGATTTTGTTATCTATTTAGAGCGATTCCTTTTAATATTAATGAAATATCACAATCTACTACAATCATTATATTCCAGGACATGATATTATTTTTTCATTTTTTTTGATCATATTAAAACTGTCACAACTTAGTATTAAAGTGTGATGTGGAGAGGAGGGGGTGTACATTTTAAGGCTTCAAGCACCAAGTTACAAACATCTTAAGGATTAAGTACATCCAGTTACTTAAGTCCCACCTTCGAGTACTTACATGTATGCAACGGCTTTCGTTTCCCTTTTTAGAAGTAGGAATGAGTGTTCTCCAGAAATTACAGCGACTTTACGTTGGTAAAAACTTGTAAAGTTCTAAACTCTTAATATTCGTTGACTGTATTTATTAAGTTGTATCTATCGTCTTACAAGATCAACCGACTTCCTTTGTTTCTCAAGTTCTTGATGTTTAAAATGATGTAACTGTTATAATCTAAAGATATAATCTGTTTGATATTGATATCAAATCTTTTATGGATTACATTAACTTCGTGGAGTTATTACAACTGTGGAAGAGCCCAATGTAAGAATTTTTGTATAACAGTGGAGTACCACGACCACGCAGAAGACAGACGTGCAGTGGAAGAATTTCCGTGATTCGTCTGATCAGTGTGTTGACGAGAACCTAATTTTATCCTTTTCAACTTTCTATCCCTACCTTATAAGAAAAAGAAGGTGGATTTTATAAAGTAGGAATATCTATAATTAGAATTAAAAATTCCAAAGGACACTGGTGCCTTGTTTTAATCACATACCCACTTCTGTAACTGAGTCAAGCATAACTCTTTGTAAAAACAGGTCAAAGTGTCAAACAATTAACACGATTGTCTGTTACAAGAGGTACAAAATTCTTGTACTGATGTAAGAATCGTAACCTACTGACCCGGTGCAGGCGGTTGGCGGTAACCTGAGAGAAACACTGCAACGCCAACGTCCACTAACGAGATGATACTCATCCGCCACTCTGCATTTTGCATGCGGAACTATTTTCGCATTGCAGATTTAATTAACCTAGTCTTTATTTTGCAGTATGCGGCGTCGAATTCATCTAGTCAACATTCGTCGAGGGGACCACAGGTAATTAAAAATTTAATTATGAAACTTGTATACAAATAGTAAAAAAAATGTTATTGCACAAGTTGAAATGTCAACTCAAAGAAATCGTAAAAAGCTTAAAGCGAGGGCTTAAGTTCCTAATTGAATTTTCTATCTCCATAAAGCCGAATGCGGTGTTCGTGTTCGAAATAGTTTAGAAGACGACGAACATGACCTAACACGTGAACAATG